AACTCACTTAGTTTTCAACCAAACGGGTTGGGATTTAGAACATAGATAGATTTAATGAACTTCTACAAGAAGGTATGGTCACCATGCTCATGTATGCACGTGCGTGCACGTGAAATGGGTAAAATGAAAAATACACTTGAATGAACGAATTTTTGAAATACTTTTGGATTAAATACTTTAATATTTAGTATATCAAAATATATAGATTGTTTTGATAAGATGATATGGTCATTACGCACATGCATTCACCTGCGCACATATGCAATGATTATATTTGAATGAGCATGGTACATTTCTGGGTAAACGTTGTTAAAGTCTCAAATGCATAGAGTTAGTGTTATTTAATGAAGCTTACAGGGAATATGGCACCAAAAGGGAGTTGGGGAGCGTTTGGGGAACATCTGTAACGGTCCCCGTTACAATTAGCACTAGTTGAAATATGCATCACAAAAATGAAATAAACTCCATAAAAGCTCAATAGTAAACACACTGTCATTACTCCGTACAGACTAGCACGTCGATACACTAGTCCGTGCTGATCAGATTTTGGTCGGGGAAAATATCACAAGTGGAAAGAGAAGTTATTTGGTATTTTGGTATTTGTGCGGCTGAAAGGGGGGGGGGGGGTTATTATAACTGCTGTTCATAAGGTATAACTGTAAATTGTCTATCTACGTGTAGCTCTAATATAATGTACATTCTATACAAAGTCATGTATACAGTCTGCAGTTGGTTTGCGTCGTAAAATTCATTTGTCCACATAACTGATTATTTTAGTACTAATCTCAAATCTAAACCAAGAAATTTGATGTACGGTAATTATTTACTTCAAATCTTACAAGCAATTAATCAGAATATAATTTTTTATGTGTACATCTATACGTTCTTTAACACAAACGCGGAGAAACGCCATCCCCTGTTCAGATTGACATTTAAAAATTTGAATTTTTGAGGCGGAGGGGGGGGGCATGCAAAAATAATTGACATGATCGTTATTTAAATATTCTTGGAAGACAGACATTTCTGCCGAATTCCATTTTGAGATTTTTTTAAAATGTGTCGAGGAACATAACTGTTTTATGATTATGTTTTTACAGGAAGTCTTTCGAGATTTCAGTATCCCTGCCTGACAGTCTAGCTATGTTTTTTTAATAAAAATATAATTTCTTAAGGAGTATTTGCGAGATGATTTTAAAAGCTAGGGTAGGGATACTGGAAACCTGGTTGAATACGGATAATTTTTATTTACTCCTTTGTATATTGAACTCTCTCTCTCTCTCTCTCTCTCTCTCTCTCTCTTTTGTATATAACCATCGGCAATAATAGGTATAAAATCCCACGCACTTTATGCTGTATTTATTAAGCCTTAGGACAGATGAGGGTTTTTTTTTAGACGGGAGTAAACTTATAAATTGAATAATAATTTTTTTTGGACAAAAATTTTTCCTAAACCCCAATATGAAAGAGAAACTAGAAGTATTGTGAGCAATAGCTCTATAAATATCCCCCCGCCTCCTATATGGTTAAAAGAAAGTCATATTTTGCTGTTGTCGGTAAACCCATAATATGTGTCGGATAAAAAGTAAAATAGGAGGTACACAATGGTAATTTGTAATAAACTTGTGATTTGTGAAAGTTTCATTAAATTTCACTCAGTGGTATAAGAGGATTTGCGGATGGGTACCCTAAAGCGTAACAGACATCTACATGTACGGAAGGACTACAGACAACGGACACAACGATTACAAACCCTGCGATTTTAAGCGGGGGGTAAAAAAAAAACTTTAAAAAAAACATCACAGTTTACATCTCAAATACCTTCTCAAACGTGTCGAACCTGGACCTGGACAACAGACAAGAATTTTTAAAAAGCTAATTTTGGTAAATGGGGAAAATTCCCGGGGAGTTTGCTCTCTCTTCCTATATGCTTTGGCTAATAATCATTATATATTTATGTCAAGAATTTTAATTCACTTTTAATTCTATTTTCATTATCATTGTACCACAAATCAAACTCGTTTTTATCCCCCAAGATGCGTGAGGTATAATGTTTTTGCCCCTGTAGTAGTCAGTCCTGTTTGTTTGTTTGTTTTTTTTTTGTCAGCCAACTCCTCATAAACCAATGCACAGAATTTTGTTAACTTTACAGATATTGATAGGAGACAATGTGTAGTTTCACTCCCCATCTGTACATCACCAGGAAATTCCAATTCTTTTTTTTTTGGGGGAAATTTCCCATTTTTTTAATTAGATTTTAGCCATATCTTGAATATAGCTAATGAACATTTGTCAGCGCAACTCCTCATAAACCGCTGCATAAAATTTTGTAAATTTTCAGATATTTAGGACACAATGTGTATAGATGTGCATATAAAAAGGGAAAATTTACATTCCTTTTATTTTTTTCTGGGAATATCAGCACCTCGATTTTTTGGGGAGCGTGGGGTATATGAACTTGCTCATTTTTTCTTTATTGTGCATAAAATTATAGATAATTTTAAATCAAATTATAATAACTTTAAATCAAATTTATTAGGTTAATAAAGCCAATACACAGTATTTATTTGATAATATTTATATAAAGAAATCCGACCCAGATTTTTTTCTTAAATTATTTGTATGAGAGTGTTATGCATTTTTTATTAACCCCCCCCCCCCCCTATCATAGGAAAATATCTCCAAAAGGTGAATGATTCGTTATAATGCATGCTTTATTATAAATTTTATGAAATTAAACCATGTTTTCATTTTTATTTACAACATTTGACAAGAGTAATGTTTATTGTTTATTTTTGAAAAAAAATTTTTGCTTTTTTTTCAATAAACCCCCATGGAGTTTCAACCTTTCTTTTTTCCCTGCCCAAAATAAAATGATCGGCGGGGCCACGTGTGTCCAAGCATTTTTAACTGTTAGTTAGCAATGGATTAATGACCAGATATTTCTAAATGCATTTTTCAATAAAAGTAAAATAGGATAATTCTTTGACATGTCACATCCCTGTAACGATAGCAGTTTTCAGGTAAATGTTTTCATCACTGCTTTTGACCTTTCTCCCCTGCATGGATTTTTGCTGTACATGAATGTATTCCTTTTAGTTTTTTTTATATTGCAGCAAATGATTTAAAAATAATTCAATTCTGGTATAGTTCTAGTTTTTGTTTGAATTTTTACTTTTCAAACATGTATTTGGTAGTTTATGGGAATTTAAAAAAAAAATTTCTATGGAGATGTGTACATGTGACAGCCGGCTAGAAAATCACTCAAGGAAAAATTGTAAAGGCTTTTTATAGAGGGAAAGGACCAAAACTTTTCAATTAAATATGGCGGAATGATGAAAAAGGCGGACAAAGGCGTACAGGAATGTAGTAAGTCGTACAAAGATGTAAAATGATGCCTTTTTAAGAGTTCATGTCAGCTTTAAGCCAAACGTAAGACGAAGTTTTTTTGGGAACATGTCAAGCATAACTTAAATGAAATCAACAATTTTTTTTTCCCTGTTGGTTACTTATGATGATATGAAATTTCATGTAAATTAGAGTAAATGAGTAAGAAAATGCCATTTAAATTACATTGAAAATATTGCAATCATACCGCAACACAGTTCAAAATATTGCAATATTGCAAATTTTTGTCGTACTGCAGATCTGTACTCACTGGTATGATCAACAGATCTGTCTTTGAGAATAACTTCTTCACTTCAATTTATGGTCACTTAATTCTCAGAAATTGTGGATATTGTCTGCTGGTACCCCTGACACCCTTTTTTAAAAAAATAACGTCTTTGAGAACCATGGGGTTAACATGACGTCATCAGTACAAAGAACTCCATCGTAAATTCCAATGATCAACGTTCCTACGGGGGCTATGGAGTTCGACCACAGCGGGGGGATCTGAAGGCGAATAAGGCGCTGTATGCATTCCAGGTGTGTTTGGAAAAAAAAATCTTTGAAAATGATAATCCCTAATTTTCTTCTTCTTTCTCTCTCTCTTTCTTTCTAAAGTATAACAACGCTTGCGATGTCAACTTACAAATTGTACTTTTTACCAAGTTGTACATAAATACATTGTACATGTAGATCTGTACAACGTTATAAAATTACATGCACTTTTTTTTATCATAAAATATTTGAAAAAGGGAAAAAGAAAAGTATAATTGTAAGAAAACATTTTATTTTTTCTGATCAAAAAAAATGCCAAACTATTTTCATAACCTCTTTGTTAAAAACATAATGTACATGTACTTTGTAAATTTGTACATTAATGTAGATTTTTCAAAAATTTTTAAAGGGTATCTATTTGTTAATCATCCATCCCCCTTTTTTAAAAAAATGTGTAACTTGTTTTCCTTTTGTCCCACAGGAAGTGTTTAAACGTCACAAAATAAACGACGGAGAACAAATTTTAAAAAATTCCTGGAGACATTATAACCGTAAAAACCTCCAAATCGAGGTACCAGGCTCGTCACGTGATAGTTGGTTGGGCCCCTGGGCACACAAGTTTTTTTCATCTCTGGGCTTCGTTTCCACGAAGGGAGTTTTTTTAAAATTTTTAAAAAGAAATTCAAAATCATATTCTCGCTCATAAAAAATATTTTTAATATTAATAACTGACTTTATTTTAAAAATAAAATCCTCCCACTGGAGCGGAAACCCCCAAAAAAGTTATAGGTATTCCCTTTTGAAATTGGACGATCTTCCCTGAAACGAAATTAGACCTTTAAAAAATTACACTCTTTGTGATGTTTGCTAGGTGATACGGATTCCGTGCATTACTGGAAAGAAAATGGGAGGTCAATATTCAATGCAAAAGTTCCCCAAACCCTTTATTATGGAAAAGTATACGCTATGCCATGCTTTGAAATCCGGGACACTCAAGGTATTAGATTTAGGAAATTATCAAAATGCGATTACAGAATTTTTTAAAAATTTGGGCCCAATATTATTGTTAGTTTCATTCATCAAATGTGAAGCATTTTCCAAATAAATGCACTTTCAGGCCTGTCTTCACGATGGACCGGAGATAGATCCCGATGACAGGGACGCAGTGAATACAGATGACGTCACTGAGACAGTCCGGAAGTACGTGTCTGAACACCTTCCGGGACTGGAAACGGCTCCCTCGGTGACCGAAACATGCATATATACGGTAAGTAGGGACAAAACTCGACATGAATTACCCATGTAATGAAATTCTATTGAAATGAGAAAAAATACCAATTTTAAAAATATACAAATTTACTGTTGCAAATCTAAATTGATAAATGCAGGACCATTTTCTCCTGCTTCGTGTCTTGGTGCGACAAATTCAACCTCACCAGTGTCACTAGCTGAATGCCAAGATGCTGGTAACTCGTATAGCCCATAGGAAACATTGATTCAAATAAATTTGTCATACCTATGTTCAAACTACGGGTGATTTCATGATTTTATTCCCCCTTCTAAACATATTGATAAAACTGTAATAGAAAACATTTCAATGCAAAATGAAAATAATTTTTACTTAATAATGTTGATAGGCATCTCTAATGCAAATAAGCATACTATCATTAGTACTGTTTTAGGGGTCCACAGAGAACAGAATGGGAGCTAGTAATCATATGTTCCAGCCTTTGAATAAGTAACGTTTTCCCCCACCGTCACCGGTATTATACTTTATACTTTATATAATATTGTATGATACTTTAGTGAGACAATCAAGATTAGGAAAGGGAAAATTATTTTATATACAAGGGCTGTTCAATAAATAATGTCCTGAACTGTATGACATACAATACAGATAAAATGTAACATATGACATTAAGCTTGACTTTTTCGCATTATTGAATCTTTAATGAATTTATAACAATTTATGTGACCACTTTTCATCACATAGTTTCATTGTGAGAAGCTGGAAAATAAGGGCTATTCCAGACACTGCATGTAAAATGAATGGTAAAGAATCAGTAAACTAGAGTGAAATCAAACGCTTCATTCAAGCTCCTGTAAAACTCGTTAAGAATCCCAATGAATTATTCACTGAAATATGTAACATTTACGGCAACCAATGTCTGTAACAGTCTGTTTTATAGACAAATGAGCAGGTGGATTTAAATGATAAAAAATTATATAGTGGGCATCAAAATGGGTACCAGTCCTTGCCAACAAAAAATATAACAACTCATGTAATGTTTGCAAATTTTCAAACAAATTAATCACTGATTTTGACTTTAAGACACATAGCTTTGATAGACATCATTTCGGGAGTAGTTCACACTGTTTTTAAAGAAACATTTTCATTAAAAAGCTTAATACTCAGAAAGGTCATCCTATGTTTTGAAAAATGAGTCAAAAACAACAGCGTGTAAGAATACTAAACAAATTTTTTTAAAAATAAAAATTTGTGGTTATCCAGGTTTGTTTGAAATTGGAACAGGATAATGAAACTTGAATCTATTGCTTAAAACCCTCGAGAAAACAAAAATTTACAATAAGATGTACTTGACAAAAGCAGCAAAGGTCTGATAGGAGCAAAGAATTGCAAGAGCACAAAGACAGATTTATATGCAATTTTCTAAAATATTAGTTGTCTTGTTCAAATTCGTATTCGGGGAGGCAGTTTAATTTCTGGAGGAGTCTAGAGAGCACTTTTTTGCAAAAAAAAAAAATCGAAAGCATGGAAAGGTTAATGAGAGGAAGGAACCAGAGTCAGGATTCCACTACATTAAATTCTTCATGACAGCGTCCAAACCCGCACGTCACGAACATGACGAAGAGTAAAGGAGTTTTTGGGATAAACAGAAAGTGATTTTTTTCACACAAACAATATTCGCCAGATCTATCGCCTTTTAACTTGTTTCATTTTCCAAACTTGAAAAAAATATCTTTCAGAACGAAGAAACTAGTCCAGGAAATCATAAGATCTGCCATTTTCCAGTATACTAATGATCATACCCAAAAATGAGTTCTAAAAACAATCAGAAGTTGGATAAAAATTTTTATCGACATTGGTTTTAATTGAAAGATAATATTAAGTTAAATTATTAAGACTAAATCATTGAAAAGCGTCTTTTGCTTTTTTCTGAGCACCGAGGACATTATTTATTGAAGAGCCCTCGTATATAATTTCTCTACCTTTTCTGTTTTCAATCACTCTACTTTATAGATGACTCCAGACAGGCAGTTTATATTAGACAACCATCCCAAGTGGAAAAACATAATCATAGGAGCTGGATTTTCTGGTAATATACAGTATCTCTCTATACTGTTTCAAGACTTCGAGTGTGTTAAGTTATGTATACAAAGTTATTTATAATAATTAATGATTGAAATATTGTAATTATAATAGCATATATATATTTTTTTAAATATTGTATTTAAAAAATTAGCATTAGAATTACTTGTACCTTTACTGCAACTTCTTTCGTCAAGAGAATGTAAATGTAAAATAAAATAGGAATGAAAGATATGCAAGTAATTGCAAGTAATTCACATAACAATTTCTTAAAAAACTGGAAAATTGTTTAAATTCATGTTTCAACCATGTCTTTTAAAACAGGTCATGGATTTAAGCTGGCCCCCGTTATTGGTAAAGTACTGACGGAACTTGTCCTCAACAAGAAACCCTCCTACGATTTGTCACGATGTCGGATCCAAAGATTTCTTCCTCCCAAACACCAGTTATAGGACGAGAGCTAAAAATCTACCTGCTGCCCAATATTATTAACTTTAATGAATAAAATTATGCATATCAAAAATCAACATGTATACGCACAGGTCACATGCTATCCACAGTTATTGTGTTGATTTGATGACGCGATCGTTAGTATAGAATTTTACATTAATAAAAAACATAAATTTATCGGATTGAATGAAGATGCCAAGTTTTTGATTACTACATGTAGCTCTTAATCTTCTTTGAAATTCAATTACATATATGTAATTAACACCCCCCCCCCCCATAATTTTGCCGATATATAATAATCTTTATTGCATAATACACCCATATGGGTCAAGCAATATATCATAAAAAAAACAAAACAAAAGAGAACAATGAATTATATATACAATATCCATATAGAAATTCATTCCCTAAATGTTACATCGATGTGGACCTTTTCTTTCTCAATTCTAATGATTGTTTATGTAGTATACTGTAGAAAACATAGCTACTACATGCTAGAGCCCCTTCAATAAAAACGTCTGATGGCCTTTGTTTCTTTTTTGCTTGTAGAGGAATATTTGGTAGATGATAGTGCCTCCAACTGAAAATATATGGCTGTGCCCCCCCCCCCCCAAAAAAAAAATTGCTTCCCACGGACCTGTATGGGGAGTCATAAGTGCGATTAATAATTGAGTGTAAATATGAGCTCTAAGACTACATGTAACAGATAAAGCTAGAAAAAAACGAGGGGGGGGGGGCTTTGAGAGTTAGAACTGTTGTCATTTAACTTTATTATTTGGTTCATATTCTGCTCCGTGCCAGTGAGATTTTCATAGTGCAAAATGGGTACTTGTATAGCATATCCGACGTTTGTTGCATTTGTTCCTCAAATTCACACAACATCAAGAATGAAATGTTTGCTGAAACATATATTTTTATGGAGCATATTATGTCAAAGACCTTAAATTTGCAATTGCTTTGGTACAAAGGAACTGACATCAATTTAAAGTAGAAAAAATATTAAGGAACTCAGTTCTTCGAGCTTGGTGAATGCTCTTCAGGTGAACAAATTATCATACTGACCTCAAAAACAATATCGTTTGATACATGTATGAAGAGAGTATTTATAGGGATTTCACGTATGTTGCCCAATCTATTACAACCGTATTACAAATTTTGTGGATAATCGGTGGATAATATTCTAAAATAAATTATCATACAGTCAAGTTTGTAGATACTAGTATAAGGATCCACCAAGAAAGCAATATAAGAACAAGTCATAAATTATTTTTTTAGATAAAGCACTGGAATATAAAAACAACTCACATACTAATGCAATAACATGAATAAGTCTTATAAAAATTTCAGTGGATTAAGCATTGCATAGAAAATTTCGATCCATATGAATAATAGGACAAATGAATATATACACCTGACTACCGGTATTAGTTATTGAGCAATATAATTTTTATAAAAAATAAACATATGCCATATTTCAAATCCACAAAATAGTCTAGTGTTATTACGAGCCCTCCAGAAAGTCAAATTTTATATCCACTGGCTCTTTAGACCTTTCATCAATGCCCTCAACAGTAAGTTTAGTTCCCCCAAAGTGGAATTTGGCCCTGACCTTCCTACTGGTTCCTCCCCTAGTGTCAAGCATAGGAACAGTCAAGGAACCGATTTCCGTACACCCCTCGTCATCGATATATTTGGGATCCCTATGGGTACACGTGAAGACTCTGAAGTCGACAGCAGTTTGGTCTTCATAAATTGGGTTGTACGTTTTGTCTGTGCTCTGACCAAAATGGATTGTATCTCCCTTTTCTACGTGAATATCGAACTTGTCTTTGCAATAAACTTTTCCGTTCATGATCTTTCTCCTTGATTCAGGATGTGTGCCTTCAATGAAGGTTGTGTTGGTTTTAACTCCGTAAGTATACTTGACCACTCTGGCGGCAATCATTTTGGGATCGTGACCAAATATAACGGCCCCTTTCAGAACCGCCAAACCACAGTCTTGGGGAATCACCACTTTACAAGATGGGAATGATTCTCGTATTCCTCTGTAGAAGGTCGCACTCAAAGCCCCCAACCATAAGAATTACGTCGGTTCCTTGCGCGGTTTCCGATAACAACATTTCCTCAACTTTAAGGACAATCTTGTTGATAAACGCGATTAATAATCCTCTAATTTTGTTCGTTCAATAAAAATTTTATCCCTTTTCCATGTTACGTTATCGCCCAAACCTTTATCCCTTGTTAAAGTTTCAATATCTTCATCCGATATATTCAGTAGAGACTGTGGAACTTGCATGCGCACTTTTTTACCCGTAGATTTTTCTCTCTTTTTACTTTCAAAAAATCGGAATAAATCTATGTAATCTCCATAAATTTCATAATCCGGAAAGCCTCAAAGATCGGTTTAGAAACAATCTCCTCCAGCATTTCTTTGAACTGGGCGTGTACATAAATCCCGCCCCAGTCACCACCCTGAGCGCGGTCAATTTCTTTGAGTTTTCCATCGTCTGTTACTTCCTGTATCGCCATATCTATAGTACCACTGGAAATATGTTATCAAAAATTCAAATGGACTAGATCTTCAAAAATTCTCTATGTTAATTAAAATTTCATCTAAGGTATAAAGTCATTAAATGAAAACTTCCAGGTATCAGATAAAAGCATTGGTACATCTATACCTCCACCGTCCAAGACAATGAACCTTCTGCAGGCTGCATCGCACTGAGACAATCTCCGCCTTTTTCTATAGGTAAACATTTACAATACATGGCTGCAGCCTCGGGTTCCAAGCAGATCATAGGGAAGATTTTGAAATACCAGCCTAACAAAGAACGTATAACATATAGCCGATTTTTTTTCTAAAGTACGAATAGAAGACATTTCGAAACAAAATGGCGGATAAATACCTTTTCAGCTGCTTCTTCCATGAACTGTTTTGCAGGTTCATCCCAGATAGCAGGCACGGTTAAGACCCAGGTTATTTCTTTATCCAAGGGCAAAAGGGCCTTCTCCAAATTCTGTTTTTCAAAATTCTTCAAAAAGTGGTCTTTCAGATACCGTATGGAGTGGGTAAAACTTCTATGGCCAACATCTCTTTGTCTGTCATATCCTTGAGTTTGGTATCTCTGGTAATTTTCTAATTAATAAAAATAATAAGAATTGTACAATGATATTTTCATTACAATGTAAGATTATATTAATGGCAAATTGGAGACTCTAAAATTACCAGATTTCCATCTTTGTCATACAGCATCATTTTAAATCGACGAAAGTAAAAATATTTTCTTTCTCTTCTTCTGGTAATCTGCTATACGTGTTTTCAGCTTCGTATCCAAAGCTGTCAAAGTTTTGGTCTTCGTCGAGCAGTAGAGTGGTGGGGGTTTTCTCTACAGTAGTTCCCCAGCATTCCAAGGAACAGTATATATTTCATTGATGTTCTTCTCGTTGTTTTTCAAGAAGTTTCCACGCATGGAAAAGGCATAGCCAGAGTAGGTTGTTCCAAAGTCAATGGCCACAACATATGGTGTACCTCCAGAGGCTGACATATGTGCAGCAAACAGATCAAGACTGAACAAGAGCTTACTATGGAATCATATGGAATTCGGATAGAGCCATGTAGTTTTATATCGCGCACCATAAAGAGGTTTTATCAATACGTTGATGCGATGACGATCATGAAGCAATGGTGCGATGACAGTAATGCCATGGAACAACAATGCAATTACGATGGTGTGATAATGAACATCGCCATCACGCTTTCGCTTCTTCTTGCTGCGTGTGGCATCATCGTCATCGTGCTATCAAACCGTCGCGTCATCGTTCTTGCGCCATTGTTTCATTATCGCAGCGCGCGCCATTGGCCCTTTAGTCGATTATCGTCTGATGCTTGATGGTGCGATAGTGAACTACGTGGACCTAGCTGAATTCCATGATTCTCTAACAGAGAAAACTTTATGTAATTTTCAAATCTTTAATCTTTCTTTTTCCCGTACTTTAAGGCTTTTTCAGAATTATGTAGAAAATAGGGCATTTTCATGGCATTCAATTTGAAATCATATACTTAAGTAAAAAGTAATCCCGATACCTATATTAAATTTGATATCATTATTATTAAAGAAGAGGCCATGAACATACAAATTACCGTTTAGAGACTGTAGTAAATCTGGATACATTCCCTTTGTCGAATATGAATAAAACTCCTATATTTATGACTGGTTTTTCCAAATTTTTCCATTGAAAATGAGGTTAAAATATGCATTTCGTCTTATTTAACTACAAATTATGCCCCAAAACACCTTCTCTTGACCAATCTAAAGTTGATAGCATAGTTATATAAGGAATTTATTTCTCAATTTTGAAAAATTACCATAACATACATAAGTGTATGTCCAGAACTGATGGACAATTCCAAGCTCGTAACATGTAGTCAACAATCGTGCACATGGGAATCGTGGTTTGGTAAAGCATAAATAAAATTGTGAATAGAGGTTGGAACTCGAACCCAAGAAAATAGAATTTCCTTAGGGTATTTTTCCTTTTTTGTCATTTTTTTTTCGATCGAGTGAGTTTTCAATTCTTTTTACCCCCCCCCCCCCCCTTAACCGATACTATGACACGTGCCTGATTTCAACAAAGATGTCCATCTGCATTTTATACATCTTCACATAGGCGTCGGGACATGGGGTAGGAGGGTGGGGGGGGGGGGGGTTAAGCCCAGTTTTTGGGGACAAAGATATTAGAATAATAGAATATTTATTCAACCACTTTGGGCCCACAGTGGAGCATACAGAATGTCCAAAATCATCAGTTATACATATACGAAACAAAAACAAACATTGTATAATGAACAGAGAGTTAGCTATCTTCTTTTAGGATGTATAAAATGTACATTATAAGTGGCCTCTGTATAATATCTGCAATATGCCTATATTGAACTATGTTGTTTTCTCTTATTAACTGAAGTTTGCATTTAAAAGTTGGCATAATAAAACAACAAACTCAGAATCTTCATAACCATGTAAATAGGTCAACATTGCTAAGAAGTATCAAATTAGGAAAGGTTTTAAAATTTTATCTAAAAACTCTCTTCTTGAGTCATTATAAAGTGGACATTCTAAGCAAAAAATGCAACTCATCCTCAGTTGGACTTGAGGTGCAGTAACGACAGATTCTCTCACACCTGGGAAGAATTTACATAAGGAGGTGTTGAACATTGGGATGTAGGTTTAGTCCCCTCCCCCCTAATCCTCAGACACGTTACAGTTTGCCAGTGTTTAGTAAAAGAAGTGGTAGTTTTTGAAAGAATGTCGAACCCACCCACACACACACAAACACATACGTTCAATTTGATTCCGACGCCATTGTTTCAGTGGTACGTATATTTTTTACAGTTATGATTCACCTTGCTTAGTTACATGTAACATGCTTAACGTTAAATCAAAATCTCACCTTGCTCATCACAAATGTTTTGAGATGATATGATATCGAAACCGAAAGTTGAATTAGGACGCTTTGAAGCTGTCGCTAAACAATATGTTAAATGACAGATATTATCGAATGAATTCTTTAGTTAAACGAAATAATAATTATCTTTGAAAAATATATCATTTTCTTCAACAAACCTTGGATTTTCTTTATGCTTCATGCAAAGTACAGATATTTTTAGAATCGGTGTTTTCCTAAATTTTGGGTAGACAGGTACGAAAGGGGTCTATTTTCGCTCCAAGATTTCTTTGAAAAACATTAAGTTTTAACATTTTTTTAAATATTACTAAGTGAATTTTATAATATTATTCAGCTAAACTGAAATACTTATTTTTTATTCATTGTAACTCACGTGACGATTCTTATTCACGTGATTTCTTTTAATAGAAATTTGTGAAATCAAAACGAAAGTAGAAAAATTGAACTTTTCAGAGAATGTTGTGCCTCCGGGTTTTCCTGGTAGATTTTCATATAAATGGGTTATCATCACAATGAGTGGGGGATACATCTCAACCAGCTCCGGGAGGAGCTGAGCTCCCGCTGTGTGATTGTGGGGGGCTTCCCTCCCCCTCCTTCAACGGTACCCCAGAATGTTTATAGGTTATTTCAGTGTCAACGGGCCGAGCCAGCAAGCGACGGAACAGCATGGCTTGTCTTATTTCAGAATGCAGAACGTAAGTTATTAATATTGGCTCAAAGGCAATTCCCGAGCAGTATTTTGAATACCTAGATACATACATATGTCATATATGCATGGGACGGCCATTTGATTCGGGGGGCGGGGGGTTAGCAGATTTTGGAAATAAATAATCTGTCCCTGAGTCCCCTAAACCCCACCTATGAATTAGAGTTGTCGACTTCGATTGATTTTTTCTTTTTCTTTTACTTTATTTTTTGCTTGTAAAGTTGTTAGACGTTTTCAGTGAAGAAGAAAATAAATAATCTGTCCTTGATCTTATTAGAAATAAATAATCTGTCCTTCACCGACATGAAAATAAATAATCTGACTCAAAAAACATTTTCGCCCCCCCCCACCTAAAAATCAAATGGTCAACCCCTTATGTTGGATTGTCTCATGTAGTATGTAATTAAATTACAGAAGCAAAATGGTGGGTAACAAATCGCAGCACTTTTCAAGTCGGAAACCTGATTTTACACGTAGCTCCTTCCTCTGGATCTAACATTCCTGATGCTTGGCTTCAGGTAGGAGAATCTATTTACATTCGATGTGCACTTGACTCAATTAGTATCATATTGTCATTGGAGTTGGATCCTTTGTCTGAACTATACTCCTTTAAGTTTGTTTACATAAGTTTGTTGTTTTCAAGAGGCCCTCGAGAGGAAAATTGGGTATATGTATCTTCTCTTACCTTCGTTATGACAATCCCTCTTGGGAGCCCTACCTTGACCATACTGATTTTTTGTTTCGTCCCAGTTCAGCTGGAAACTCAAAAATTAAAGACATAATAAAAATTATTCAGACCTTGGTCATCTTTTTGAGAGTTATCACCCATGGCAACACAAAAATCTTAGTGATACTTATAGTGATCATTTATGAAATTACTGAGATTAAATTTTAATCTTTGATTAAAAGTACCATGAAATGCTTTTAATGGTCACAAACTTACAATTGACTGGGCTCAGACTAAGTGCTCATGACATGCAAGACCGAGGTGTCACTTCATGTCATGCACATTGCACTCATAGACCTCGAAAGCAAATGGAAGGGGGGGGGGCTAAATTAACAAAAATATGTTTGGGACTTCTGTGCAAGTGCCGATATGTCAATTTTGACTGCATCCATGACTCTATATGATATGCATCATGTGAGTTTGCCAACAGAGCTGTTATAGTGCTGTTTGAGTCCGTATCGCACTGCTACAGTGACCTAAGAAGTTCCTACTGCCCTGGTACACATTAACTGTACATCGTGATTTCCTTTGGCCGCATGCAAATTAATAGACAAGGTCTTTTTTGCATATAAAAAAAATTGTTCAAAGATATAAGGTTTTGCAAAATGTTTTTTCTCTATGCTCTTATTCTATTCGAATTTTGAAAGCCCAGTCATTACCCGGTACTTTTGTAAATCTGACTCTGACACAGGCAAAATAAGAGAAAAGAGAAACATTTGATATTTTAGATATGCCCTCATAGTTTCAAGTGTTTTTCGTTTTTAAATGTGTACGTGTACATATACAACTGTAATTGACTATATCCGATATCTGTTCCAGACACTCTATTGTTTACATACAGGTATATAATCATATTATATGTGGATTTATAGATAGGGTTTAAACTTCCTCATTTCAAATTGAAAGAGATTAAAAAATGCAGCTGATAATTCTGTTTGTCAAGTATAAGTAAACAAAATGTCAAAACTGAAGATACAAGCAAGATAGGAAGACTGAGCCATTTTGGATATTAAGATTTAATTTAATTGTGACCAAAGTGGATTTTTATTTTTCTAATGGAAATAATTTAAGGGCTCACTGACACCTTCATCATGTGACATCATACTAATTCTAAACAAAAAAAAAAAATTAATACTGTTTCAGTTACTTTAATTATCCTCAACCATCTAAGTGTCATACTTAATATTGATTAGAGGAAATAAAGTTTCTTAACAGTGGGTCCTGAATTTGAGTCTCACTCTGGATTTACTTTTAGTATACCACCTGAAGAATTTTCTGAATTCATTTTTAGCCAGATATAACTGTGACCGTGTCATATTGAAGAAAACACAGTTATAGGGTTGCATGGATTCTTTATTGCCATGGATCTCGTTCCACATGTAACAATCAATAAAGTGAAAATATCGGCCCTATAAGAAATAAAATACAATAAGTAAATCAAAGTACTGGAAAGCGCTAAGCATGGGTTGAATTTGAAATTCATCAGAATTTAAATTCCTTATTGCATTGGAATAAGCACATGTAAAAATTTCACGGGTCAGCGGTAAAGGGGGCGGCGGCGGCGTACTAGTTGTTTAATTGAAATAAACTCAGCTCTTGATTGAACTTTTAAATTTTGTATTGAATATGGTACAGTAGAATAACAAAACAATATTTTTTTTCAATATTTCACATTTATTTTGATACAAATCCCTCATCGTGCAGCATGTTGCTATCAACATGTAACAAAAATCCCCGAAGACTTTACTTCTTTTTCATTACATAGGCGTCGGAACCAGGGGGGGGGGGCTTAGTATACTTAGTATAGACATTGAACATATCTTCGTAGGTTTAGCCCCCCCCCCCCCCCACTTTCCACAGATACGCCGTAGTATAGTTTCAAAATGTGGAAAGTGGTGGTGTTTGGAAAAAAAATTTGGCTATAATATCAAATTTGGGTATAAGGATATTGCATTTGTCTTTTTGTCATTTTGATGAAAAACCATTCTTATCCTTCATCTCTGACTCTCATGCACATGAATTATAATTTATTTGAACCGAAAATTAAAAACGTTTGACCATTCTTTTTCTCGTGTAATATTTGAAGCTGATTTGTAAATATTTGTTTGTAAAGTAAATATGTTAATTTAAATACTCTTCTACTTAGAAAGAGAGTATTTTCCTTCGACTCATTTTGGCGGAAATACTTTAAAATGCTTCTTTTTTTTCACTATCATCATGATCATGTAAAACATGTCATGCTTATAGTAATGAAATAGCCACACACCCAAGTGTTCAGTCTTAAGGAATTTTTTGCTTCAAAATATTTTGTTACAAATAAAGACTACAAATTATTTAAGTATAGACTATCTATATAAATGCGTTCAAGTTTAAAATTTGTGCTACTAATGGATAATGAGATGCTGTGAAATCATTGATAGTCCTCTGCATAATGCAAGTGTGATAATAACAAGGCTCGTTTGTATTTACATGTAATTTGTTTGAAATAAAGGCCCAGAAGATGGCGTGAAAAATTAGGAAATTAATATACAAAATGAAGATTCAAACTATATTTAGAACCTAGTTAAATTGTACATGTACTACTAATAGATTCCAATTTGATTTTTAAATTCTCATTGAAATTTTAATGAGACTTTTAAATTCTCGTGCGCATTAAATCTTTTTAAGGTACTTGTATTAACTTTTTCGAATTATACTGCAGAAATAAGATTTGTGACATATTTGGTGTTTGCCAGTACTTATTAATAAGTACCATATTGTTCAGAGATAAGACCCGCCATTATATATCCACATTTCCGTACACATGAAAGTTAATATCGACTCTCCTAATTAACAACTATCATGATAACTCCTACACTAAAGTGGCCGACAGAGGGTCGGGAATTCCAGTTGTATATTTTTAGACGACTTGGTAAGTGTTACATAACTTGCTCAGTGTATTTCGTAAGCTTAGTGCTGTATCATTCCTTGAAATGGAGTTCGTCATTTTAAAATCGAACATAATATACAACATTTATTTTAAACAATAATAAACATGGGTTACCCCATATCCAAAGATATTCGACTTTTAGATTTAACATGTTTAACAGTGTTTAATGATTTTTTTTTCAAAAAAAACTGCACTGTCTGATTATGGAACTGGTGTAAATTTCTTGAGTCCATAGCATCACGGTTGCCCAGTCTCCTAACAAACAATACTCATACCTGTGTCCGCAAGGTTTGCCTTGGTCTATACACACGTGCGATGGAAAACTTTGCTCAACGCACAAAGCGAGCTCGGAGAAACACGTTTGTTTTGCCGAGAAGGTACCATGACAGACAAAACTTTTTTTAATTAGATCATATGAATACGAATTCGAATTCTGATTTTCAAAAATTATACAATCCCAATTTTCAGTTTAGAAATCTCCAACCCGGTTCGGGTTTTCCTACACATTTTTTAATTACGCTTCCTACAGCTTACACAGTCTACACACGAGCAGAATCCGACCAGGGATTGAAAATTTCAGCATTTAATAAAACACATGTACACAGAATGATTATCTTTTTTTGTAAGAGTAAATTGTATGATAATTGACGGACAATAAACATGAACTTGATAAATTGTTGATATAGTATTATCAATTCATCGGTGAAAAGAATTATCATTCGAAGGATGACCTATATATTCTCTTTTATCAAACATGTTGAAAATACATAGGCTCGGTAGCGGGCATTGATAAAAGATAAACTTGATCGATAGGGGGCGCTGATAAAAAGACCGTGAAATTTTCGATGCCTACCTAAGAAGCACTTTGCGCATGCGCTTAGCGTTCTTAACCACATCAAACAATATATTCAATGCAGTCCACACATCGATATATATTTTACTAAAAAAATAGATTCAACAGATTGTAAATGTTCCAAATTCATGAATGCGTAAAAAGGGAAATAACTCTTATAATTTACAGAATTAACAAAATCGTGTTTAGATAGAAATTTCCGTAAGTTCTGATAATTTATCAAATTATGTTAAAAATGTAAAAACAAGTAATAATTGGATAGGTGGATCAATTTATGGAATTAGGCTGACTGCTACAAGAAGCTGGTAACAAGTTGTTCAAATATTACATGTATACTGAACCTATATAAAAACAACAATCATAGGTTCAGCCGTAATCTCAAGACAATATTATAGCTGATCATAAAATAATAAAACTGTACAAATTACAACATCTATATCTAGTATTGCTTATAATCAATATGATTACTGATAATAATACTTTACAAGAGACAATGAACTTTTTTCAAAACTTAAAAATTCACTCTTCTCTTTTCAATCAAAGAAATTATATTATGTAAAGATAGAAAGATAAAAGTAGAAAAATAGATAAGATTTACTTAGGGATCTGTATAGTCTCAAATTGAAATCTTGTAAAACACAAATGTATAATGTTGAATATGTAATGGTCGGACAACTCTTCTCACAGCCGGTTCGTTGGCTGTCCATGCGAGAAGGAAGCCCCCCGCACATCACATTGAACAATAGAAACTTACCGCCAAAACCCTTGGCCAATAAAACTACGTTACTCGTAATGTCAAAGGTCGACAAGGTCACCAGTAAAATTAGTAACATGCAAAGTGAAAAGTGCAATGATGATAATGATAACTATAAAACACTTTGAGATAAATAAATATTTTTTATTAATTATAATTTATTAAAAAAACTCTGCCACATAACTTTCAGATTATTTAAAACTAGTATGCATAAAACTGTCTTATTAGGTTATCCTGGCTGTTTAACTACCAGTAAACATGGTAAACAGTACCTTTCCCCTTTTAAAAAAAAATTAAAATTCCCCTTTTAGTTATAGAAATTATTCTGATTAAGTATATAAATTTAACACTAAAAATATATTTATTTGTGCTAATTAGACCCCCTCCCACACACACATACAGTAGGCTCTCAAAATGCAAATTCTTGCAACATTTATCTAAAAAGTTCCAGTACATGGGGCATATGTCTCCCTCCAGACCCCCTGCTATATTCTCAGGTCCAGTACTGATGTTGAGATTTCCCCACTTAATGTGTTAAGGTATCACACCGGTAATTGTTTTCACTATATAATTCTATATAGAATAAAAAATCGTTAAAAATCAGGTATTTGTTTACATGAAAAAATATTTAGCAGGAGGTGTTAAACATTACCTGTCAGTCACATTAGCTGACACCAAAAAACAGGGTACCCACACGGCATTTTCGAACTTTTTCCATCTGCAAACAGGGCTACCCTCAAATCCACGTGTTTTCACTGTGTTTATAAACACCTCGAGTGCACTATAGGAAGTAGCCTCCTTATGCCATGAAAAAAAATAGTTCCTGTCAAAAACAATTATTTATTCTCAAAGTAAATAAAATTTACTAGGCACAGGTACCAAAGTTGTAAAAATGGCATTAAAGAAAATAGAAAAACGTCTCAAAAGAAAAGAAAATCAATTATATATATGTATGGACCTACATTTGACTAAGTTCATTTTGATTGGTCAATTACCGGTGTGATACCTTGAAGGACCCTTAAAGGTGTTCGATTTTTTCCATTTCTGCACCTGAGATTCATTAAATAATTGTCCCCAACATCCTTAAGTCTGGTGATCTAAATCCCCTTATTTCTGAAGTTATGAAGCATTTATCTCCCTTACTCCAGAGCAGTCAAGAATGACACACAGAGCACCCTGGAAGCAGTTTTTTGTGCATCTTTTGAAGCAGAATTTCACCATTAAAAGAATAAGCTTGGCAACCAATTTTTTATCTGTGGAGAGTATATGCTTTGTTCTTCATCACAAACAGAAAAGAGTTTACAAGTCTAAGACCATTATGAAATTATTACATAACAAAGTTGCATTTTCCCCTTCAAAGAATGAACAAAAATACAGAAATTGTTAAATACTGGGTTGATAATGAAAACTGTATCTGGTCAATTTATGTTCCAAATAAAGCCTAGGTATGTGTCTACAAGCTGCTGTGCAGAAGTTTATCTAAATGCTGTGTTGTAACTCAGGGCAGTCAAAATGATATCAGCATCTAGGGAGGTTCTTCACAGCTCCCACACTCTATTAAACTGGCTTTGATGATAAGACACTGGAGACAACAATTCAGATGTAATTTATTGTTGTGATTTATGTAACTGGCTTTCTCTCAAGACACAAATTAGCCATGAAATTTCAATTTTACATGCATAATTATTCTCTTTTCATGGATTTACTCAGGAATTCCAAAGGTGTTTCATGAATTTCCATGATTTATGCAAGATTATATCTTTTTGTTTCAACAAATTTACATAAAAAAATAAACATTTAAATTTTAAAATATAAATATTAAACATTTTTATGAGTTTGAACACTTTTTTATGTGACAAAATGCATCACAGAGACCAGATTCAGGGCATCCTCCATGATTATTTGAGGTGGTTGGGTGTACAAAAACTGCTGATAAATTTTATAGGAAGTGATCTGAGAAGAAAGGTGCACCTTATTAGCTGAATTATAGTTATTCTGATATTTTAATTATGTAAATATGCCAAATTTCTTCATCAGTTAAATTTGGAATTTATTAATATTTCAGTACAATGATATACTTAATAGATCATGTTCATATAAGCATCACTGAGTGAGACTTAATTCAAAAGTCACAGTCAACACCTACATATAAATGAAAAAATAACAAAAAACAGTCTCCGACAAACTGAAAAAACATGAATGTCAGCTGCGAAAGCATGAATAAAGTCCTAAGAACCACAAGAGGCATGCCATGGTGCTAATTAAGTGACATTCTGCACTACATGTATGATGCATGGTTAGAACTCAGAATAAGTATTATCATGCAGACCCTGACAGTATTTCAGGATTTTTGGGTCATAACCTTCCTTACTGTGAAAAATTCTTAATGAATTTTACTTATGTAGCTTATGTATTAAGTTTATTAGACAGATCTGACTCGTTTCTTTATTTCTGTTCTTCCAATGCAGTAATATATGTATCACTGGAGGTCTGAATAAATTAAAATAAATCATGTGTCTGTAGAAATTATCATTCTGTGAGAACATATTTTACTTGTTTACATTTTATCACAGTTGTCGCTTGTGCTAAAAATTCATTCGCAAACCTAGAATTAGTCTATTCTTGAAAAATCAGCTTTAACACCCTTTACCGCAAAGTCTGTATAGACACTATAATTGACTGCGGTCAGCTGGTGCAAATAACTTTAAGTCATATAAAATGAAAAAACAATATTCTCTGACTTCTTTCCACATTTTAGATGCATAATGCAACCTTTTTAGTCATATTTTAAAGTATTGAGTGTAAAAAATAACCTATTGTTAATTTTTACACAGAAATCTGTGAAAAATAATGTAAATTCTAATTCTAATTTTAAAATTGTGTGTTTTCAATCAAAAAGTTAATAAAATCACATATTTTGTTGAAATATGCCTTTTAAAAATGAAAAATGTCTTAAATAAGGGTTAAAATGATTTTTCATAATCACCTTCAAGGTATCACACCGGTAATTGTTCTCACTATATAATTCTATATAGAATAAAAAATCGTTAAAAATCAGGTATTTGTTTACATGAAAAAATATTTAGCAGGAGGTGTTAAACATTACCTGTCACATTAGCTGACACCAAAAAACAGGGTACCCACACGGCATTTTCGAACTTTTTCCATCTGCAAACAGGGCTACCCTCAAATCCACGTGTTTTCACTGTGTTTATAAACACCTCGAGTGCACTACAGGAAGTAGCCTCCTATGCCATGAAAAAAATAGTTCCTGTCAAAAACCTTTATTTATTCACAAAGTACATAAATTTTACTAGGCACAGGTACCAAAGTTGTAAAAATGGCATGAAAGAAAATAGAAAAACGTCTCAAAAGAAAAGAAAATCAATTATATATATATGGACCTTATATTTGACTAAGTTCATTTTGATTGGTCAATTACCGGTGTGATACCTTGAAGTGTAATCATGGAAGCAATATACATGTATCTACGTAGATAGATCCCTGCTATTCATATTATACCCTTGTAATCTGTTTCACTGTGAAGAATTAAAATTCCAATTTTACAGTTCTCTTGGATCTTTCTGTCATTGGATACTCTATTTGTTGTTCCCAGTGAATCTTGAATTAGACAGTGTATGTTTCACTTTCGAATATGATTGACTCTTCACACACACCAATATCTTTCATTGTCTCATCATTACTTAATGTTAAAGATGAAAATTGTATTGAATTTTTTTTCTGGCATAAGGACCCCCAATTTAACTAAACATGTCAGATTTGTCATTTCTATCCCAGATCTCTCTATATTCATAATATTGTACTTTATGTTTTGGTTGAAAGGATGATCAACATGGATCAGCGTCAGGTCAGATGCCGGGATATCCTTCAAGTTTCCCTGTATATCCAGGATACCAGGAATATCCCAGTCACTGTCCACCAGTATCCATGCCTTCAATTCCACAGAGCGACCAGATGCATTCCAATCCATACAATCAGCACATACCTGTATCCAGTCCACCATTTCAGTATCCATCTGGGGGTCCAACAACAAGTCCTGGTGGTGGCTTGCCCCACAAAATTCCCCCTGGAAGTGAACCACAGGTTATATCCTCTGACCCCAAGTCCTCTAAGTCATCTATGGCTCCTACAGTGTATCAGAATTTTCCCAGCATGCCCATGCCTGAGCCTGGAGCCATGGCCCCGCCCTCTTATGAGAGCCATAATTTCCCTCCTAAATTGCCACCCAAGCCCTCAACCATGAAATCTCCTCATCCTATCCAAGGAGGATACAGCAAGGACGAACAATCCAGTATTCTCCAGGGATCAGATATAGACCCAGGGAGGACATCTGTACAAGGTCTGATATTAAATATTAGGTCTATTTAGCTCATGTCCTTTCACTTGGCAAAATTACATCCCTGTTGTTTATTAAGAAATCAACTCAACATTCTTTCAAAGAGTGATCACAGAGAAAACAAATAGAAATGGAAATACATGTATTCATAAATCATTTGCAACTCTAACATTTAAATTGTCCATTTTCATATGATGATTCCTGCTAAGCTTAGAAGCTCTTTTTAAAGATCAAGAACACAATAAGATGTTAATTTAAACTGTTATACAATTTATGATTTATAAAATTAGTAAAATTGCTCAGAATTACTTTTAACTGAGTGAACAGGAAGCACTCCAATCTCTATTGTTCCAATTAAGTATACTCAATATATGCTCAATGTTGTAAACTAAATAGTATGAGGTAAATATTATTATAAAAGAAAAATCAGTTATATACTGAGTAGGTCATACCGGTCATACCAGAAAAAACAGGGTATTGCCAAATGCTGTAAAAATCATACATATAAACTCCAGCCTATGTGTAAAGAGGGTACACTCTTGTATCAATTTGATGATTTTTGCCTCATCTTGCAGGAAATGTACTGTCATATATCATTACTTATAGCTTGATTTCAAGTTGAAGAATTTAATTCTATCACCTAGTATATTATGGATTCTGGCTTATAATTTATTTTTTTTTGTCATTTTTGTAACACTATAGAAACGACAACAACTCCTGTCTGTGATAGTATCAGAAGTATGAGGCTACCGAAGGGTATATCCGAAGATTTCATCTCCAATTTCTTTGAAAATGAGAAAAGAAGTGGTGGTGGATATGTAGCTAATGTGGACTATGACAAGAAGAAGAATACTGCTATTGTCAAGTTTGAGGATCCAAGTGGTAATTTTTAAATGATAGTCAGAGAAAAGTTACCTTAATTGAGCAGACCTTATTTACTTAGTTCATCATTATGTGCACTCTAAAATGAATAAAGCATGATGCAGTAGCAAGAACTTTGTTAAAAGGTTAAAGTGATTTGCATCCCCATTATTTTGTTTTTCATTCTTGCTACCTCCAACCCTCTGATATCTTAAAGGTGAATCCTTGTCCTGTCAAGTAAAATATTTTTCAATTTGAAAATTAATGGAAGTCAGATCTCAATATCTTGAACTTTATGGGACCAAGAGAAAATTGGTGATTGGAGATACCAGATTTAAAAATAAGTGGTTAGGACTTAAAAATTAGACTTGCTCTTAATCATGGTATTCCAGATATCTGTTTTTGATATAACAAAACTTAGCTGTTTTTGCATAGCTAGGTTACAAATGTTATGTTTAAAACAATATTCAGTTCATACAAGACCCCTGCGTGGTGCATGGCCTGGAGCATCTGCTCTAGTGTCCCGAAGTAAGGAGTTGATCATTTCGTCACAACTCTAATACCACTGATGGACATGGAGACTGGTATTTTGGATGAGACCATATAAACATATATAATAACTGGTTACAATGAAATGCCCCCCCCCCCCAAAAAAAAAAAAAAAAACACCCCTTCAATTTTAATTTACTACAAATTATGGTATCAAAATACATTTACTAATTTTACATGTATACTGTGTCAATGATTTACTAAATTTCTGAAATTAAAATCTAGAATTAAACTTTTAAGTTATATATATATATTTTTTCCTAATCAGTGGTAAAGAGTGTCTTGCAAAGGCAGGAAAGTTCAGCCTTAGCGATGAACAAACAGGAGATAGAAGTTGAGGAGTATCATCCATCAGCTGACCGTGAGAGTGAGGAGCAAGAGGTCACAGCAGTCAAGGTCACAAACCTGCCCCCGAGAACAAGCGAGGATCAGATAGAATTGTTCTTTGAGAATCGTAAGAAGAGTGGAGGTGGAGAGGTGGAAAAAGTGGAGATTGATGAGGCTACCAACAGTGCTATTGTTTGGTTTAAAGAGGTTGAAGGTAGGTGAAATGAATTTCATTAAACAAACAGCCAGGCATCGTTTTCAGATCAAGGGTACATTCAAGATTGTAGTAGCTACACATGTGTACAATAGAGCTACAATATTGAACAATATGTTGTAATGTAGTTGCTTGATAGGAAAAGCTTAGGTAAAAACAAGTTTCCAGTCAAATTGCAAAAAATTCTTTTCACAAAATGTTTTAAGGTCAATTTAAGTATGATTTTTTTCTATCTCTAAGTTGTTTGTTTAATTCTTTCAGCGGTGAAAAGTGTCTTAAAAAGACAAGAAAGTTCAGCTCTTGTGATGAACAAACAGCAAATCGAAATTGAAGAATATCATCCACCAGGTGACAGTGAAAGTGAAGGTGAATCTGACGTTGAGGAGCAAGAGGTCACTGCAGTCAAGGTCATGAATCTTCCTGCCAAAATAACTGATGAACAGATAGAGTTGTTCTTTGAGAACCCTAGAAAAAGTGGAGGTGGAGAAGTGGAGAAAGTGGAGGTTGATGTGGCTACCAACAGTGCTGTTGTTTGGTTTAAAGAGGCTGAAGGTCAGTAAGATGAAAATTATTAGTACCTGTAATTATGGCTTGCAAATTCTGTATTGACATTTATACTATGTACATTTGGTATGACAATAATATTGATAAAATGTGTCAATATTTAGAAAAAAATGAAAAAGAGAAAAAAAATTAAAACAGGGTAAAGATAAATTTAGGAATTGGCAAATTAGGGAATGAGTATTGCATACTGTAGTCAGACTATCGCTTATTTTCACAACACCTTATTTAAGCGAGGATGTTTGGTATATATCAGTGAGACAACACTTTCACAAGCTGTTGATATTTTAGCTCTACTGGTCAGGGACCATTTGTCTGTCTTGCTGTCTATCTGTAATTTCTTTTTCAAGATGCTTCTCCTCCTGCAATTTAGGTCTGATTTCAATATAAAATGGCACACAAGTAGCCTACACTATTATACATAATTCTCTGTATTGGTTTTCATTGGTTGTCATGGCTACTAAAAATAGAAATTTCTGTGAAACGCATTTAAAATGCTACTCTTTATGCAGTTTTGAGTTTTGGTCTGATTTTAATAAAGTAAGTCATGGAAGAGTACTACACTTAGATACATAATTGTCTTCATTGTTTTTTGATTCTGATGAATGATGTTGCAGGGGTTACTAAAATTGAAAGTTCTGTAAAATTCTTTAAAAGACAACTCCTACAGTTACAGTTGCCTGTGTGGCGCAGTGGTTAGAACCACTGCTCTAGAGTCAGAAATTAAGGAGTCAGTCATTAGTCGCAGGTTCCAATCCCACTGTGGGAGGGGGCGACAGGTCCTTCGGATGAGACCATATAATCCAAGGTCCCATGTGG